CAAATCCTGCAAGAGTTCTTGGAGGTAAGTATATGTGAATGGCTGTACTGAGCCAGGCTAAATGACTAACACTGCCAGATTCCTGTCTCTGAGGCTACTGGTAGTTGCCTGGGGGTGTGCTTAAGAATAAGTACTGTACTGGAAAGTAGTTCCCAAATACTCTTCCAGCTTTCAGCAATTTTCAAAGACTTACTGATCTGTCAGTCTTTCATATTTATCTGCCTCTGTGGATTTTTGGCTATTTGCTTTTTAAAAAATCCCTCTGGCAGGCACTTTCACCATTCCATGTGTCTTAAGAAAAGAATAACACTTTTCATTTCTTTTGAACCTGCCTCCGCCAGCTTCATGTGATAGCACCGCTGCAGATACTAGAAGAGACACCAAACTGTCATTCTCTCTTCAGTCATTCCCCAGCCAAAAGCTATTCCACAATTCTTTTATCATTTTTATCACATTTCTCTGTACCTTTCCTACTTAAATGTTGAGACTTTAGATTCTGTTCTGGGACGTGAAGAGGAAGCAATCACAGATAGGCAGCAAGGTTTTAAACATGCTTACTGGTTGTAGATGGAGTGGAATCCTCGCTTCGCATTATTGCTAGTGACAGGAAGACAGAGGACTCCTCAGGGATAACAATAATTGAAGACAAATTATTTCCTTGCAATCACTGTTTTCATATATATTTAGAGAATGCTTTTATAATTTATCTAGGCGAAGACTTAGTTCTGTGGTGTTATTTAAATATATATTTTTCCTTATGGAATTATGGAAGATACTAGGCTGTGTTTCATGCCGGTACCATGAAAACAGATATTTCTTGACACTTCAGTAATGGAACTGAAAATAGCAAGGCCTGAGGATTTTCATGACATGTTACTGAGTGTTGAATGTCAGATCTTCCTAGATGTTAGCAATTACAGCTCAATAAGCACTTGTGTCAAAGGCATCCCGTGTAACAGTATAGTATTCTCTTCAGTATCCATACCACCATTTTACAGTAAAGTGCTGTTAAATAGTGATACCACTTTTCAACATTTTTAAATCTCTCTATTCTCAGTCACTTTGTGAAATCGACAAAATCAGTTTTATGTTGTGGTAAGGCTTGCTAAAAACTTCAGTTCTCTATCTTTACACGTGGTCCAGGCCAGTCTTGTCTTGGGTGGTGGGGGAGTGGCTGTTTGGAAGTGTGTGTGTGTGTGTTACAGTTCTATTAGCCTCTGATCAATATCCAAGATCACTGCTTTTCTAGTGACAGCATCTTAAATGTAAAAAGTCAATTCTTTGCAGCAGCTGTCTCAATTTCCCTGCAAAGGATTGTGTAGATTGTAGTTAATAAAAGAAGAGGAAAGAATATATTACAGAGAGAATTTAAAGGTTTTATTTAATGATATCAATATCACAGAAGTTGATGTACTCAGGTAAACAATCATTTCACTGGTGTGGCTGAAGAATGGACTCTCTCACTTCAAAGCTGCTGGTCTACTTAGAAAGCAAAAATTTGTTATCTAAGGATTGTGTAGAAAAACAGGAACTGTTTGTAAGCACAGGACACAGGACATGCAGGCAGTATGTCCTGCGTGTTGCAAGGATCTGTACCAGGTGCTTCTGAGGAAATTGTCAGATGCTTCAATAGCAAATTATGAAACAGAATCATAGAATGGTTTAGGTTGGAAGGGACCTTAAAGATTATCTAGTTCCAACACCTCCCACTAGACCAGGTTGCTCAAAGCCCCATCCAGCCTGGCCTTGAACACCTCCAGGGATGGAGCTTCCACAACTTCTCTGGGCAACCTGTTCCAGTGCCTCACCGCCCTCAGAGTGAAAAATTTCTTCCTAATATCTAATCCAAATCTCCCTTTTTCCAGTTTGAAGCCATTACCCCTCATCCTGTCAATAACATACCTCTGGAAAGGTACAGAGCAGAGTCGTGGCAGGAGGCCAATAGGTCAGACTCATTGATTCTATACTGTGGTTTTTCTAGGTGAGACAGCTGTAGGCAGAGGTGGATCATAAGAATCAAATTTTCAGATCTCTCCTCCGTACACACCATGTTTTACCTCCGCGTTATACCTGGCTTTAACTTTTGGATCTCTACTGTCTGCAGTGTGTTTGATCTTTAACATCATAACCTACTGGAACATTGGCACTGAAGAAACTGTGTAACCAGGAGAACAGACCTTTTTATCTCCGTTAATAATACCTATACGAGTTAAGACCACTTTCCTTAAGAATCTCTATGTATTATGTCTTGGTGTCTCAATCTCTGCGTCATGTAAGTATTCATAAATACACTTCTGACGCTGCATAACAACTGTCTCTTGTTATTTTTTTAGTGAACCTTAAATATTTTACATAATGACATAGATCTAGGCTTAGTAGCATTAAAAATGAAACAAAGCATCACATTCTTTTCCATCATCGCTGCTTTCATGGGACCATGATGGATCTTTCAATGACAGCAGCATTATTTTATTTGCTTATTGGCAGCACTTAAAGTACAAGAGCAGAGTTCACTAGAGGCAGGAACAGACCAACATTAAGACCTCTTGAGACTTTCTGCCTATACTGTCAAGTCTGTCTCGTGTAAAGAAAGCATGGGCTGCTTTGGACTATGTTGTACCAGGCCTGCCAAGCGATGTAAAAGTCCAGGTATGAGAGGAGCTTGGGGAGCAGGTTCTCCCCAGTGTCCTGAGCAGCTATGAATGACAGGTCCACTCAGCAGCTGGGTGATGGGGAGTTATTGTGATTTCCTATTTGAGAGCTGCCTTTGGAGTGCTTCTTCCCTTTTGCTCTGTGAAACACATCATAGAATCATAGAATGGTTTAGGTTGGAAAGGACCTTGAAGATCATCGAGTTCCAACCCCCCTGCCATGGGCAGGGACACCTCCCACCAGCCCAGGTTGCCCAAGGCCACGTCCAGCCTGGCCTTGAACACCTCCAGGGATGGGGCCTCAACAACCTCTCTGGGCAACCTGTGTCAGTGCCTTACCACCCTTAAAGTGAAAACCTTCTTCCTAATGTTTAATCTAAACCTGCCCTCTTCCAGTTTATAGCCATTCCCCCTCGTCCTGTCGCTACACGACCTAGTAAAAAGTCCTTCCCCAGCTCTCCTGTATCATCATGTTTCTTGCTAGTCAAATGAAATCTCTGGTGTGAAGTTTAAGCACTGAAGGACTGCATGCTTTTCTCTTACCGGGAAGAGCAAGTTTATACAAAGAGTAAAATGCGAAGAAAGCACTTCTGGCAGGATGGCGGGTGGGGCATCTTGAAACACACAGAGAACCTGTTAATGGGCATCTGGAGTGAATCACCAGCTGGAGCTGGGGAGCCCTGCAATTAACTGCAGATTCCTCTGCCCGCTGACTGAGATAAACTTGTTTTGAATGTCTTTGCTTTTGTAGGTTTTGCTGTGGTTCTCTTACAGGGTTGTGTCCTTTGAAGTCAAAGTCTGTATGTCTATCTTGTATTTAACTTCTGCTGTTTGTGTTAGTGCTGTGACTTCTGAGTCCCTGCCTGGCTTTTTCAAGCTGGCACTTTCTGCTGGTTTCAAATGGAACTACAAAGTTCTTTGCACTTTCAAACAGAGGGAATTCTTTTGGGAACCTAAGTAGAAACTACTAGATCGAATTATAGGTACTTGAATTTAAGCATTCTCACTTTTACTATACAAATGCTCTTTCCAAGTAACAAACAATTGGCTCCATGCAAACCTGTTCAATGCAATGTATTCTATGTTATTTGCATAGATGTTAAACCAGTGTGATGAATTATGTATTTTTAAAAATAGGATAGTATTAAAATGTGATAGAGGATTGTTACATATAGTAAAGGTACTTTCTGTTTCACTCCTATTTTCTTCTCATAGACTTTGATAAATTCCAGTGTTTCTCAATCCTGTGGTCATAGCCTCATTAGTGTTTTTATAAAATGATTCTAAGGAGTTCTTAAAAGTCTATGAGAACTGAAATTGTGAAAAAACATGCATAATCTCAGACAAGGCATTAGCCACTCTGTTCTTGCAGGGTAGGTAATGACGAACAGCTGTAATGAAAGGTAATTGCAGACAGCAGTTGCTAGCAGAGACAGTGGATATCAGGGACAGTAATGATAGTCACTTCTCATTCGTCATCAGCTTGGGTTTGAACTTGAGAGTCAGAAACAGAGAAGCCAAAAGGCAATAGTACTTTCAACCAGTTTCAGTTGTGTTTTTGTGGGCTGCCTGCCACAGCCAATCTGAGATGCACCAAAAATTGTACATCTACAGCTAATGGGGGGGGGGGGCGGGGGCAATTTTTTTTATGTGTGACAAATAACAGCAAAAACGAAAACTCCATACTTATGTTGTTGTTTTTTTTTTATTATTATTTGAGAAATCACCCATGTGTCCTTAAACTAGAATAATACCTGCTTTACAGAATGCTGACTGAATCTTTTCATGGTTTCAAAATTTGTCAGGGAGAAGTCCTTTTGTTTCCCATCACTGTTATATTTTGCTTCCAAATTCTATGGAAAGCAGACTTCACAAAACCTACAATCTTTCCCAAACTGTACAAGCTAATAAAAAAAAAAGTCAGTTCCTTGTCAATGTCCTAGATGTCAGTGCTTGATAGGAACTTGCTGTCTATACATCTTCAATTTAATAAGACTGCCTTCCTTGTATACACCGGCTCAGCACTCTCAGGAGGTTGTTGCATCCCTCCCTTCTCAGTGGGCTCGGGAAGGGCTCGTGAGCAAGGTGCTTTCCCTGCCCCCAGATCCTGTGTCGTGTAAGGGAGCTGATACAGTATGTTGCAGGAGGTCTCTGGTGTCCAGTGAGTTACATAAAGTGCTGCATGCTCGGCCTCATGTTAGAAAGCAAAACTGTTACAAGACCTTTTTGGACGGCAGCAGCTGTTTCATTTGTATGGCACAGCGCTAATCTCTTCTCTCCGCTTTGTTTGCCTCTGTAATATTTATCTACAGGTGGTTATTTTCAAACCTGCAGAGCTGAGTACTGAGTTTAAGCTCTCTTCCCGAGACGTGAGGCTCCCTTAAATGTCCTTTGGTTCCTGTATTTCTTCTCTTTTTGTCCAGATCTCCTGGGTTTCTGGCACCAGCCACAGTAATTCAGGAGGTCCTTCATGGAGTCGTGTGCCATGGCCAGTTCCTCATCAACTGAAAAATAAACCAAACAACACAAAATTCCATAAGAATGCACTAATTTGCAGTGGTGAATTTTTATAAAGAAAAGGAGCTGGTGCACATTAGTAAGAAGTAATCTTATTAAATGGAAGGTGCTTAAGTGGCACGTTAAAACCAGAATATCAAGCTCCTGTTAGAAAGTCTTCCGAGTGTGAGACTGGGGCTGTGCCTGTGCTATAAAGCACTGACACAAATTCTGTTGACATCAACTGAACTAGTCTATCCTCATTTGCCTCTCATTTGCTTTCAATCAGAATAAAACCCTTAAACAACAGCAAGGAGAGCAGTTAGCTTGTACTGGCAATTTGCGTCCTGCTTTTCTGTGGCAGCGCCACGAGAGCCTCAAACTGTCCTGATCCTCCCGATGCCGCCTGTGGTACAAACCAAACAGAAAAATGATCTCTGCCCCCATAAGCTGGCATCTGCAAACAGCACGGTGTCATCAGAGGTCTGGAGAATATTTGGAGTGGGATGGGGAAACAGAGAAAAGACCAAAAAAAAAAAAAGAAAAAAAGTCTATTTAGCATAAAACACTTTGCCACGGAATATTATCTTCATTGCTAGTTGTTCAGGGGAAAGGTATGCTGGTTTTTTTGTTAGTTTTAGTTTTGTTTTTGAAGAATCTAGAAGGGATGATATTAAGGCGGGTTTTCATATATTTACATGGAGCCTCTCTCTTGCCACACAGAGAAGAATGAAATGCTTATTTGACAATGAAACAAGACAGCCTTCCTTTTAGTAATGCAAATTTGACTTTTTTTTTCTTTTTTTAAAGAGATCTAAGGAAATGGGCACCTAAAGCCTGCAGAATTTCTGAGGTTTGGTCAGAGAGGGAGGGTTGGAATTTAAATAAGTCTCTTGTCATGCTTATCTGTGGTTAATTGTTTTTCTCACCCGATGGTCTCAAGCTGAAGCTGAGCCAGGGAGAGCCCCTAGGGATGATTTGTGTGGGTTGGCTGGAGGCCTGAGAGGCAGGTTGGGCCCTGGCAGTCTCAGATCAAGCAAAAGAAGGGCTTGGAGGTAGAGCTGGGACTGCAATGCCCAAAGTATTAAGTAGACAGGAATTCATCTCAGGTCCTCTTGAGAGATGTGAGAATCCCAGCCAGAGCACCTGTGATCTGCAAACTGAGAATCTCCTTCCCTGAGGCATTGAACAGCCAGGTGATAGCTTTCAAGCATCCTTCTCAGTTACAAAAGGGAGAGCAATATTCCTTTGGCAAATTAGTCTGCCAACCACTCCATTCACCTCTCTCTCTTAAAGCCTTGATTGCTAATCTCAGCAAATTTAGGAAATCGTTACTTCCTTAAACTCACTACAAATCCAAAGCTAAAAATTCTGTGCTTTAAGAGCAGCGGGATGTAACACCTGGTTCTGCACATTATTTACAGACCTGCAGACAGTGCAGCGAGAGACAATTTGGGCTCTGTAAAATAGGGCAGGCCCGTTGTACATCTGTGTGGCTTTTCAGACGGGCTCTTCTGGCTTAAGGGAAATATTGTCTGAGCCTCAACAAAATACCTGAGCTGATGGGATCTGTAACCCACCTGCTTTTCCTGTTTTGCTCAATCCTAGCTGGAATAGAAAAGCAAGAACATCACCAGACAAAAATGTAGTATCTCGTCATTATTTCGCAATAACTAATGTCTAACTATCACAGATGGACACAGAGTTGGTTATTTGCTGAAAGGGAGAATCTCCGCTTTTATCTGAAGTCTAATGCAATAATTTCATTAGTTTCCATTTCAACTTTTTTCAAGAAAGGGCTCTCAATATTTAGCCTTCCTATTCCCTCACAGATACTGAATTGTACAATGTTTTGGCACCACAGCATTTTTGGTAGTTGTTTACTAGTGTGTGAAAAACTGTCAGCACCTTGCCCTAAGGATAATTTATAACCGGAGGCAGAGCTGGGTTAGGCATGCAGAACAGGCTTCCCTGGTGGATTAATTCAGCATCTGAAAGCACATCTTGAACGGGAAATGTTTGAGTTTTAGCAGCCTGAAGGCAACTTGTGGTGTACGCTTGTATGCAAACAGAGACCCTTCTTCTCTGTTAAAGCCTCAGGCCTAAATGCCTGGAGATGTTATACAATGTAGGAACTGAATTGACTCTACATTTCTGGATGTGTGTGACCTTCCTTACTTTATAGAATTGTGCTAAATTGCCTAGTTCTCAGGATTTCAGAAGGCTGCAGGGTAGAGCAAGCTTAATGAGTGGGGAAATTACAGTGCTTGATGTGGCATCTAGGTAAGGGTTCTTCCCTAGCCTTGCACCGATGGGTAAATCTAGCCTTCTCCTGGGGGGCTGATGCACCTCAGGCCAGGTTGGGGTGAATGTCTCTGCTTATCTACAGAGCCCTGTGGTCAGGGTTGTCCTCTCTGCCCTAACCAAGCCTCTGCTTTTGAAGCCATGGGTGAGCTGCTAGAGCTGAAACCTGTAGAAAGTGCATTGTGGACCATTGTCCCAGGCAGGTGGTTCTCACCAAGTTGTACCAAGATGCGTCTGAAGTTTACAGAGGAAACCTAGAATGTCATCTTAGCTTCCCCAACACTCTCTATGCGAAAAGGTTTGAAAGGCAGCTAATCTAAAGAATAAGCTTAGCCCAGTGTCTGTGAGAACATGTTTTGGAAAGGCGGAAGGAAAGAAAGGAGGAGGACTCTGATCTGAACGTATGCTGGGGCTGGCCTTGGCAGCTGGAAGCCTAAAATGAGAGAAGAGCACATGTGAATCTGCATCTGGGACCCAAACCTGGAAGGCATGAAGATCATCCCATTAACACTGGATGGTCCCTTTTTGGTTGCCCCTTCTATAGTGCGGTATAGTAAAATCTTCTATAGTATGGTATGTAAAACTATGGAGTTTTAAGTGAGGGTTCAATCCGAGTTCTAAACAAATTCCTGTAACATTTTTCAAATAGAAAACGATCTAAAATACAGTACAGTTTCATAAAATTGTTTATGATCATAGTTCTCCTCAGTTCAGTTAATGGTACAAGCCTAACTGTAGACTGTTGAACGACAAGTTTTGTCTGCCGACCCACTCATTGCCCCCACATCCTGACTCACCTTCTAATAGTTTGATCCTGAAGTAGGCAATTAGCAGCAGCAGGAGTAAAGTCACGGGCATAAAGATCCCAGCAAAGAGAACATAGCCAGGCAGCTCCCTCACGAACACCGAGAGCACGTAACTCGCACTCATTTTCCTCTGTGGCAGCCGTGCTGAGCAAGATTGTTCAGACCTCAAAGTGTGGACCTTATTTATCCTGCTTTCTTCCTTTTTTCCCCTGCATCCACATTCTGCCCTTTGCTCAGGCCATTATCTCTTTTTGGACTTTGGTTTGTTTGCGTAGGCCTGTGATTCCCTGTGGGACTGGAGTTCACTTGCAAAGTTACTCAACCACAAAGTTTAAAAGTGCGTGTTGAAGTAATGCAGGGCTTTGAAACCTTTGGATATGTTGGGCTGGGCAGGGCTCAACATGTAAGACTGCAGCCGTCTGAGCAATAGGGGTTCTGTCATCTGCTAATGTTGTACAGGCCGTTCCGAATAATCAGCACCTTCTTTCTAGATATATTACTAGTTTCGCAATAGGTCTCAAATGCTCGCTCAGGGTGAAGACCCTGTTTTACGTACCACACAGGCAAACATGTGGTCTCTGCTCTGAAGAATTTTCAGACCAGACCGTTGAGGGAAGCAGCACGTGACCGAGTAGATGCTGTACCAGCAGCATTTTTTTCCAAAGAGCAGTTGCAGAACAGTGGAACTCAGGACGGTGGGGGTTTTTTTAGCAAAATTGAAAATATGTGATCTGGGGGAGGCAGATGTGCCAAAGAATTCAAGAACTTTTAAAAAGTTCCAGTAACTGGTTTTGAGGTGTGCAGTGTGTTCAGTTTTTTTCCCATCTGTGGCAGCAGCCTATGGCAGAACTGTGACTAGGATGCATTGATTGGTTTAAAAAGATGATTAGTCGTTTTGTAGCCCTTCCTTATACCTTCAGGTTTCCAAAAACATCTGGTCAGTAGACCTGGCATCTTGGAAGTGCTATTGCATATGGGCTGTGTTGACTTCATTTGGGGGCAGTGCAGAATCTTGCTGCTTGACCTGCCCATGTGCTTAAATTCCAGCAGAGATGTGCTCCGGGTTGTTGGACATCAGGTTACTCTACCTGGGCATTGAGGTTACTCTACCTTGGGCTTACAAATCTGATGCCTACTGAAGGCATCAGGTAACATTAGGCACTGCAGATTCGAGGCTTCAGCAGCTTGTTATGACATGGACAAAAAATCTGGCTCATTTCATGTGCATTTGAGAGATGGTAAGGATTTTATTTGTTTAATGCCTACCAAATCTGAAACTGGACCATGAGTTCTAGGTGAAAATGACCATTTTGAGAGCAGTTTTCTCCAGGCGTCCAGAAAGGATTTGCTTGACTAATTGGGCAGGTGGGTAGGCTGGAGCCAGTGGGAAACGTAGTAGATGTGTAGAGTTTCAGGGGAAAGAGGTATTTATGCGTTCACCTTGTTTTCTTCCCCTACTGTATTCAGAAGGCAAACAACCTCACCTAAATTATTTTGAGTTTGTAATTTTTTTTGAACTGTGACATATTTGAGATCCTCCTTTTGTGACAACAAGTGATGAAGAATATCATGTTTGCAGGCAAATTCCTGTTTTTGTTCATCACCTGTTGTTGCGATTGATAAAAGAACAAATGGAGTGTGCTTTATTTCATGCTTTTATTTGTTTGGCTTCAGCTTCTAACCATTACATCTTATTCTGGCTTTTCCCACAAGATGTTTGACCTTGTTCAGAAAGTGCTTTATGATCTAATGAGAAAAAGCATGGATTAGAAGCCAGGTGGTGAGAATATTAATATTATTATAGGCCCATCTGTTGCCAGATAATTCCTTCCTTGCATAGATACCTGTCAGCTGTCATCAATAAATTCCTTAAACTTTTTCTTTTTTTTGCATAAAAAGTTAATTCAGATTTATTTTGAGGCTATCATGAATGTTAGTGTTCTGGCTTGCAAAAAAGTTGCAATATTTTGATGAATCCTGGTCTGGATCCTTTAAAAATTCCTTCCTAACTGGTGTTCTTAAAAAAAAAAAAATAGTATCTTGAGCAATCAGAGAGCTCAGTCTGCGAGAGTAAAGTCAGTGACTGAATTCCAAGCGCTGTGACATTGCAAAATGAGCCAGGGGGCTATTTCTCTTCGATACATGTGCATGGCTCATGGTGACATTAATGGGAAGGAAATACCTGCGTATGAGGGCAAAACAGTCATTTGGATTTTTTTAATTGGTTTTCCTTGTGTACCTGAGATACTAGTTCTTTCTGTCAAATGTGTGTCAGGGGAGATGCTGAAGTCCATAGCTGCTTTGCTTGTCACACCTGGCTGTCATGGGGCCAGACAGCTGACAGAGGCAGAGCAGACAGCTTGGAAGTGCTTAGTTTCTGCCCAGGAAGAATAAGAAAACTCTCAACCCTCCGTGCCTGTACAACCTCCTTGCGAAATGATAGGTGTCAGCTCTGGTCGCAGCAGTTACGCGAGGAACAAAACTTGGCTAGCGGCTCTTCAGTGCGGTGGACACGTAAAGCAACTCTCCATATTGACACAGGACAAATGCAGGTGGAAAAGAGGTTAAACATATTTTTACCAGGAAGGCTGGGATGGCGGCGGGCGGGTGTAAAGCCGAGGCAGCAGCGTTTGGCAGAGGGGGGCTACGGCACCCCGGCAAGCCCCGGTCTGCGGGGGGATTGCCTTGCGCATCTCTGCTGTGCAATCACGTCTGCCACAGTCAAAGAAAAACTGGGAAATGTGGGCCAGGCATGGATTAGTAACGCAGGAACATATGTTTTCCTGGATGATCTGTGACGCTTGGGTGTATTTGGGAAAACAGATGGATTTCACGAGCTTTGCGAAAATGTCACTGACTTCTCACCAGTTAGAAAGAAGCAACTGATTACTTGTCAGCCCCCTGGCGCTGGTGGCCCTGCAGCACGGGGTGGACTTGCCGAAAGCTCCCTTTCTAGCTCACGGGAAATTCGGCCATTTCAAAATTTTCCTTTTGGCTAGAATCAGAAACTTAATTTCCTGTGAAATGGAATTTAAGGAACATTAATTTTAGAGCCACTACAACTCTTATTTCAGCTGTATCATTTTGATTATTTACATAAAATATGAACACGAATTAATTCAAGCTTTAAATGACTTCTGTTTCAAAACCCTGCCAACTTACATTAGAAATGGTGTACATCACACCTACCTTGTTGGAAGGAATTACTTCAACTTCTCATCTTTGTATGTGTGTTAAGCCATGCGTTCTTCTTGAATATTTTGATACAATCACTGTTTCCAATGGAAGACTTTCTCTTAAAATTTCTAGATGGCTTTGCTAGGGAATACAAGAAGGCAAAGAAATACCTATTGGAGCTGTGGGGAAGAAGGAAGATCTGCCTGTGAGGACTCGACCACAATAAACCAAAAAAAATCCCTAGTTATTGCCGGAGTTTGAGAGCCTTTTGGGCAGTAACCAAGATGCACACATTCTGTAAAGGCAAATCGCCAACGAGCCCGGCAGCTGAACTGGCAGAGCTGAGGTTGCACTTTCTCAGGGAAATCACTGAAAAGGTTGCTGCAAGACTGAGACTTCTTTAAAAAATCAATGTTTCTGTAATTATGGTGGAAAGATGAGGCAGTGGTTTCGTCTGAGCTCAGTAAGGACAGAGCCTTCCAGCACCAACCAGCAGGTCGGACGCAGACTCCTGTTCCTCCCTGAGCCAGGGTTCTCAGGTGGCCCCACAGGGCTGGTTATTCCCACAGGTGTCCCCTGGCCCAGGAGGGGTGTTGGTAAGCTGGGTCCACTGCTCAGGAGACACATCTTGAATGGAAAAAGGGCTTCAGTTTCCTGGGCTATCAAGCTAAAAGGCTTCCTGAAAAATATATTAATTTTATTAGATTTAAATGCTAAATGAGCATTTAGATCTCATCTTTCTCCTGGATGTTCTGCTACAACACAAAAACCCTTTATTCTCCTGTTCAACCTAAATTCAATAAAGGCTATTAGGTCAGGTAGTTTGATATGTTTATTATTACTGGCAATTTCATTTCCTTCCATGTCCTTTTTAGAATCCAGTAAATTGATTGTTTAAGGCTTGTTTTCCCAAAAAGCATTTAGCCTTGATTTGAAAACATGAGGAGATGGAGAATCCCTTTCAATGGCTTCTTCCTGATGTGAAAGGCTCGCCTCGTGTCTGGTTTAGAGCTTGCCACACTTCTGCTTCCAGCTGCTTGTTCTGCTTGCCCTTTCCTCAGTGGGTCAGGGAGACGTTGGGGACCTGGTATTTTTTCCCTGTGAAAGTACTCATGCCTCGCAATGTCACTTCTCAATCTCTTTCCTATTAAACTACACACCCCGATCTTTTAATTCCCCATAGTAGGATTTTTTTTTGCCCATCCTTGAAATGTCCTTGCAGGTTTTCTGTGTGTTCTCTAACTTTTAAAGATACCTTTTGAAATGTGGACATACCAAAGGCTGCAATCTTGTAATCGTGTCACCTGTGACACTCCTAAAGGTAAAATTGTGTCTCTCTTCCCACTTGCTACTCTGCTGTTCACTCATCAGAAGGGCTTATTAGCCGTGATTGCATTGGGAAGCACTTGCTGCGTTGCATACTTGCTCTGGGTCTGTCTTCTGCAGAGCTGTGGTTTCCCAGGGCAATCTTTAACTAGATTAACAACCTGTTCATCTTGCTTCTAGATGTAAAACTTCGCTTTGGAAATGTTGCAATGCTTTTTCTTGTAATAAATGCAGCCTCTCAAATGGTCCACATCACACAGCCTCACTGCTGTGTTCTCCTTATTACTTAGCATCAAGCCTTTGATCATCCGCACTTTTTAGGAGTGGTGATTTTTGTATCAATTTCTCCTTCTGCTTTTTTCCTCTCCTCCTTTGCCTATTTTCTACTTCGTTGCTTTTCTAGTACAAGCATTTGTGTCTTCACATGGTAAATTGGTTCAAGTTATTGATCCAGCTGAAAAGCTGCATAAGCTGTTTCTGGGCTTTGAGGGGAAAGGTATTAACTAGATTATTTTTAAACCGGATCTGTTTTCTCATTAAGTTTATTGTGTGGGCACCCACAAGGCGATGCAGCACAGCCTGTAAGTTGTGCAGAGGTGGTGATGAGCAGCCCTTTAGGAA